TACATATTCTTTCTGCTATTACGATAAATAACACCTTCCTTATCCATGATGTTAGACTCAGTAGTCAATTGGTAAATTAGTCAATTGGTAAATTGGTGTTCGTTCATTTGGATATTTGTTAAATATTTTTAACAGCTGGTCGGGCCCAATGTCCAGCTTCTGCTGGGGGGGGGGCGCCAGCGCCTCCTTGTGGAGCGTCATGTCGTATCACCACAACACGACTAGCTAACGTCGGCCGGCTGATCACCTTAGCTAACAACATTTATAAAACTCAAGGTCCCAGCTTTCCTTTAGCACTTAAATTAATCATGTAAGGGTGAAACTGTTGAGGCAACCTAGGAATCATCAACCTAGAATCTGATATTCAGTGTCCAAATCACTTTGAGTGTCTTTTCTTTTTCGGCTTTTACAACTCATGGCGTCTACTGACTGGCTAAATGCCTAAGCTGATGTCAACTCTAATGTTCAGTGTCCATGTAAGTTCAAGTGTTTAGTTCTTTTGGCTTATCCAACCTATGACCGCCCCCTCCTCCCCAGACTTAAATGTTTGAGACTAATAAGACCCACAGAGGCTCAGATCTGTTGGTCATCACTTTTATTTGTTTTCAAAACAGAAGGAAAAGGATTTCATTCAACAATTTTGCTGAGTTATTCCAAAGGAATTAGAAGCTTTTGCCACCAAATGTGAGGGGGGAAAGTGCTGGTTAGTTTTTGCAGAATTTACTTAAAAAGTCATCAGAATCATTATCCTTCAAAGCCTTTTTTTGTTTTTAAAGTTTTAAAACAGAATTTGTTTTATAGCTATTTTTTATCAGACAACCATGAAAGTAAAGAACTTTATCAGCTTTACAATCTTGATTTTTACCAGCATCTTCTCAGGATTAATCACCAACAGTGACCTGAAGGCTCTCAGCTCCTGTTCAGCTCTCTAATGCATCTGCTCCTCTTTCATCATCACTTTCAGATCCTTTTCATCTGCTGGATTACAGTTTTTTTTTGGCCCAGCTCTTCTGTCCTCCACTGGTTCAGTTTCCTCAGATGTTTAAAGGGCTCACTGTTCACTAGCGGAGATCTTTCCAGTTTCCAGCCAGCAGCTCTTTGAGAATCCTCAGAAATCCTGTTTCCTGTCCGTCAGACTGGGTTTTCTTTGGCCTTTTTCCTCCATCAGCTCCAGAAATGGAACAAATTATGTGTCTTTGGGACAGGGCTGCTGCTAGCAAAGAGCCTAAAGATCCACTTTAAGCTGCTGTTCCGCTGATTGGACACAACACTGGCTCAGCCCTTGAGTTAGGCACCTTTTTCTGCCTGAATGACTCAGAGTTCAGTGGCTGAACAAAGAAAAAAAACAAATTCCTTTGAAAATGCTCAGGGACAAGGACCGGTACTGAGATAAAAAAAGAAAAATATCCAAAAATAATGCATAAAACATCTTAGGAAAAACAGTAAACATCATAATCTCTACTTTGAATTTGAATGAGCTGATTTTGTTCTCCTTCAGAAGCCCCAGCAAAAGTCACAGACAGAAATCCTATAAAGAAACACCGACAACTCAGCTTGAGAGAAACCAAACCCACATTTTAAAATGGTAGCAGTAATAAAGCTAAAAATGTTTTGATTGTGTCCATAAAAGAGACTTTTAAAGTTGACATCAGTATCTTCTTCAATAGTTAAATAATTTTTTCCTGTTGAGCTGCTGCCTCACATGGAGACAAACTGACACAGATAACTGACATTATTTTCTATTTTCTCAGGACAAATGTAGAAACGACCTGCAGCTCAGGATGAATTCATAAATGATTATTTACAGAAAGAAACAAGCTGAGAGGAGAGTTTATCTGAGCTCACACAACTCTGCTGAGGATCCAGAATAAACCCAGAGTCCAGCATAGAGAGGCTGAGTGAAGGTGGTCTGGACTCTGTGGAGGAGAGTCATGGTCTCAGAGACGCTGTAGAAGGACAGAATACCTGCTCTGTGATCCAGGTACACTCCTACTCTGGAGGGAGGAGGAGCTGAGAGGGAGGTTTCAATGCTGTTGAACATAAATGTAGAACTGTTTCCACCACAATATAACGCCCAGGATTTGTCATTATATCCAAATCCAGATTCATTCCTAGTTCCTTTTCTGCTGATATTCTTGTATGCGACTGCTACAGTAACTGCCCCCCCATACTCTCCTCTCCTCTCCACCTCCCAGTAACAACGTCCAGTCAGACTCTCTCTGCTCAGGACCTGCTCCCAGTAAGTGAATCTGTCTGGATGATCAGGATAAGACTGAGGTTCACACGTCCAGGTCACCTTCCTGTTCCCCTCTGACAGTAACAGCTCTCTGTGTGCTGTGTTTGGATCCAGTGTGATTTTGCGTGAACATCTTAAGAAGTCGGCTCTGCTCTCTGGTTCTGGTGGCAGTAGAACATCCGGCTGAGCGGCTGCCAGTGAGACTTTAGTCCAGTCCTGAGTCAGGATGTGCTGCAGTTTGTCTGTGAGCTCTGACACAGCTGCTGTCACATCCTCAAAGCAGCTCAGAGGACGCTCCCTGATGCTGGAGGAGTGTGTGGACTCCCTGAGTGCTGGCAGTGAGGGGCAGCTGGTCAGAAACTGGACGTGGTCCTCTGAGTGTGAGAGCTGCTGCAGCTCAGCGTCTTTCCTCTGCAGCTCAGTGATCTCCTGCTGCAGCTCCTGCTGAAGCTCTTTGACTCCCCTCACTGCAGTTTGCTGCTGGGATCTGACCTGCTGCTTCACATCAGAGCGTCTGTTCTGGATGAGACGGATCACCTCAGAGAACATCTTCTCACTGTCCTCCACTGTTTTGTCAGCAGACTTATCGATGGCCTCCACCTCCTGCTGGAGCAGATCCACATCTTTCTGTGTGTCCTGGACTCTCTGCTGGATTTGTTGCCGCCTCCCCTCCAGCTCTCTCTGCCTCTCAGTCCTTTCTGCTGCCGCTGACACTGTGTGGTGGCCTTTATGCTCCTCCACAGAGCAGAGAGAACAGATGGACTTCTGATCAGTGCGGCAGAACAGCTTCTTCACCTCATCGTGGACAGAGCAGATGTTCTCCTGGAGCTTCTTGGAGGGCTCCACCAGCTTGTGTTTCTTTAGTGGAGCCACATCATAATGAGGCTGAAGGTGTTCCTCACAGTAAGAGGCCACACAGCTCAAACAGGACTTGCTGGCTCTCAGTTTTCTCCCAGAGCAGAAATCACAGGCCACATCTTCAGGTCCAGCATAGCAGTGGTCAGCAGGAGCAGCTTGGAGTCCAGTCTTCTTCAGCTGCTCCACTAAATCTGCTAACATGGTGTTTCTTACCAGGACGGGCCTCGGTGTGAAGCGTTTCCTGCATTGAGGGCAGCTGTGAAGTCCCTTCTGATCCTCTCCATCAAAGTGGGTTTTGATGCAGCTCATGCAGTAGCTGTGTCCACAGGGAATAGTCACCGGGTCCTTCAGGACCTCCAGGCAGATGCAGCAAGAGATGCTTTCTGTATCCAGCTGAACTCCTTTCTGAGCCATTTCTGCTGTCAGAAACCGTTTAACAGTTCAACTTTCCCCTGAACAGAACCGATCTGTGAGCTCCGAAAAACGACAGACTGACAAGCTGAGGCAGGAAATGAGGCTTTCCCGTCATACGTTTCCTTATGAGGAGCTCAGTGGGGGGGGGCGGGACAGAGGATAACTAACCCAACAGGTTTCTCCAGAGGCAGGGTGTGTACCTTTCGGTTCACATTCCTCCTAACTCGGTAAAAGTTCACTCATCTGTGGTGTCAGTGCAGTGGCATCAGAAACAGCCCTGTTCTGGCCCTGTTCTGGCCCTGTTCTGGGACATTTCGGTCTCTAACTAGTCCCACACGATTTGACGGATCGGGCACAAAAAGACACGCACGTCCGAACTGACCACGGGAATATGCTTGTATTTCTCTTTCTCATAAGTCCCCGCATATTTGAATAAAGGCGAAAAAAGCAAAACACTGTCCCATAGGAAATGAATGGGAAGGCCAATAAACGGGCCCAAAACGTGGGCCACTTCTGGCCCTAATCGTTTGGCCCCACAACCTCCAATAAACCTCATTTGAACATTAAACAGGTCACGAAAGACGGGCCTCCAAACTATTGGAGCCACTAGGCCTGATCTCACACCGTTTGGCTGTAATCTCGGTAGACGTTTTAGCAATAATCAGAAAAATCCCCAAATCTGCCCTCCACTCTGGTGACATCAATCCAGGCTGTAACTTTCCTGTGGGGATATTTACAAAAAAAAATCAAATTCCCGCCTCTCACGACCAAACCGTAGGGCCAAGCAAGACCAAAAAGGCCTCAAAAACTAGCTGCGGGCGTTCTCTTTCAGCCAATGTGCCCGCTTTTGACTTTGGACGTACAGTTTTCCCGCAATCGGGCCCAGAGTCCAGACTGTCCTAATGGGCTCCCATTGGAATACAATAGAGGAAAAGACAGAAAATTTCATCAATTGCCAAAACAGACCTCATTTTGAGAACAAACTCTGAGCTTCATTATTTGTGTGTGGTCCCGTGACTGACTGACGGCGTCTGATTGGTGGAAATCAGTCACATGATTGTAAAACCAAAACAAAATGCTTTCATTGATAGTTTTCAGAGAAAGTAATCAAATGAAAGTGGAATTTCTATTTCACAAATAGACTCAGAAAAGTTCTAAACAACTAAATACCTCTGTTGATCAACTGGGCGGGGAGGGGGTTGTTATAAATAAAAACAAAACTGCTAAAACCAATTTTTATTTAGGCAGCATAAGTTACTTCTTGTTTGCATAAAAACACCAAAACACGTCAACAGGACTCTGATCGATAAGCATCAAAGTAACAGAAATGCGGTCTAGAAACCGTCCAGGAGGTCATGAAGGTCCAGAAGGAGTCAGACGGGAGGCTACCAGGCTGCAAGTCCACCTGATGGGCTGTTTTGGGGGGCATTATTACTGAGACACTAATACAACATGTTTCCCACTAATCAAACATCTGGAACATCTGGAGATTAGTTTCCCCTGAACTCAAACTATGGCTTCTGGGATGAGCTGGAGGAGGACAGGAAATGGGGAGGAGTCCCAGGAGGAGGAGGAGGCCCAGGAGGAGGCCCTCAGGGCTGGGGGGTCCTCCTCTCCTTCAGGTGCACCTTCAGGTGCCTCCTCCGCTCGTCGCTGCGGGCGAACCTGCGGCCGCACTGCTGGCAGCCGAAGGGCTTCTCCCTGGTGTGCGTGCGCAGGTGCGTGGCCAGGTGGTCCACCACGTCCAACAAGTTACAACGTCCAACACGTCCACCACATCCACCACGTCCACCACATCCAACACGTCCCCCACGTTCGATATTCGATAATCGATATTTGGGCTCCCTGTAATGTGGGCTCGCGCCTATGAGAGGGCCTGAGGGAGAGACGCAGTGATGGAGGGACCCGGCTGAGCTCCGGGGCCCGCTGACCGAATGTAATTGGTTTGAGAAGGCCGCGGGTCACATTGGCTGAAAGCTGAGAAAAAGATCTTTGCAACGAGGTATGACATGACTGGGTCCGTCCCCGGTCCGGTTCCGACCCGGTTGGGTCCGATCCCCAGAACCAGAACCCGGCTCTGACAAAAGCCCTCTAAACGGGCTTCGCCCGTCTGGTAACAGAAATAATGTATATCTTAAAAAATCACTGAGAGCGGGCTTTGCCCGCCTTGTACCAAAAGCAATGTATTAGTTCAATCTTTCTAAGCGGGCTTCGCCCGCCTGGAACCAGAAGCACAGCCCATCTTTTGTGTCCCGTTCAATGTTCGAATGAGGTCTGTCGGATGCATTCCTATGGGAAAACGCTCGCCACTTTTTCGGCGTTTACTCGGAAACGCCCACTCCTTTTAGAAAGTTATGAAATAGCACGATTGGCTAGGTGGGTCCGGACGCACGTGACGGCTTTGGGGGGCCTGCCGCTGGCAGTGGCCCCCCAATATGCCGCAGAATAAGTATTTTGGATAGTAATAGGTGGGCCTTGCCCCTGGCAGTGGCCCCCCTAATAAGTATTTTGGATAGTAATAGGTGGGCCTGCCGCTGGCAGTGGCCCCCCTAATAAATATGGCGAAGAATAATAGGGGGGCCTGCCGCTGGTAGTGGCCCCCCTAATATGCCGCAGAATAAATGTGGCGGATAGTAATAGGTGGGCCTGCCGCTGGCAGTGGCCCCCCTAATAAATATGGCGAAGAGTAATAGGGGGGCCTGCCCCTGGCAGTGGCCCCCTGATAAGTATTTTGGATAGTAATAGGGGGGGCCTGCCGCTGGCAGTGGCCCCCCTAATATGGCGAAGATTAATAGGTGGGCTTTGCCGCTGGCAGTGGTCCCCCTAATAAGTGGCGGAATAAGTAATTTGGATAGTAATAGGTGGGCCTTGCCCCTGGCAGTGGCCCCCCTGA